ATTCATCACATGGTGTTGCCTGAGGCTTTCACACTTCAGGGGAAAGCTTATGTTGTCCTTCTTAATGGGAATGGAACATTTCAGACCCAATAAGTATTTGGAGGAAATGCTAGACAGTTTTACTGCAGCCCCTGATTATCTCTGCATGATCATATTTTATACTGAACTTGAGTATTGTAGTCAAGTTGCTTTGGAAGTTAAAAAACTAATTTGTGAAAGGGTATAGCAGTGAAAGATGTATGTCTTGTAGGAACAAGATAAAGGACCTCCTTCTGTTTAGCTTGGTCTGATTAATTACTCATCACTGTGTCTTTAGGTCATGCCACTTTTACCACCTAGATAGGACTATGCTGTTCACATTAGCAAAGGATGCAGTACATACCACAAGCTTATTGTACTGTTGGCTTGTCCTGCTGTAAACTGCATTTGAATTTCTTGCCTAAGCATTCTGTCCTCTTTACAGAAAACAACAGACCTGGCTTGTTATGGTTCCCTGAATATGTAATGGGGATAAAAACCTAATGCAATAGGTTTTTGGGCATCTGCATTGCAGGAGGCAGTTCTAAAGAAATGTTTTCAAAACCATCAGTTCTGAGAAAAATGTCTGCCTTCCTTCAGCTTTGCAGTATTAGGAGGATTGGCTTCTCTATCAGTTTAGGTTTTAACATCATATGTCTCCTCAGGATTAGCTCTAAACTGTGAGTATTCACATTGTTCTCTGCTAGATGTGATAATAGATCACATATTGAGGAAGATGTTGAAAATCTCTACTTTTCAGATTACAAATTTGTGGAAGAATTGTGTAAAATCACTTTTATTTTGGTGTGCTTAAGCTTTTAGCTGCTTAATTTCATTAGTGCCAACTAGGGAGCAACAAGACTCAGCCCCATGACTTTTTTTTTTTACCTCCTTGTTCACTTTTACACTAAGCTTATGTTTAGTAAAGATTTAGATTTAAATTGACATGCCTGATGACAGATAAGTTTTTGTAGTGCATTTTAGCAGCTGAGATCTGTACTTCCTTAATTGTGGGCTAGAGTGACCACAAAAACCTCTAGTGCACCTGCAGCATCTGGCATGGCAGTGGTAGTTTACTGGAACTATGCAGCTTCTTTACAGGTTAAAGTTCCCTAGTCTTGCAGTTATACTAATATTTCCTGCATCATATTTGGAATCAGAATTGCTTGAATATCTGAATTAATATGCTTTTAGTATGTTTTACGGTGGGAATGTTTGCCTCTTGGCCATACTCCTCATGAAAGATGACAGTGAAATGTGATGGTTACAGTCATGCTCCTCAGGCTGCTGCTTATTCCTTACAGCCTGTTTTAGTTTAAGAATACCTTTTTTTGTCCTATGGGATTTTTAGCTCATATTGTAGCAGCTCATGGGTTAAAACTGAAAGATCATAGGAGTTCAATTCATGTGATTGATGATTCACACTATCATGTTAAAAATTCCAGTGAACCATCAGGAAGCAAACAGTCCAGAGTTGATCTGAGTGTAAAAGCTTTAAATGTGTTTGCCATGGTTCCTCTCCAAAAAGTAGCCTGGCTTCTGTGAATGCATATGTCAGCATAAATAACTCCATAACTTTTTGATACTTTGTCTATGTGCTTTCCAGTGGAGAATAGTAGTCTGGTGATGCTCTTGCTCTCCAGTAAAGTTCTCATCTTGCAGATTTTCAGCACTACAGAACAACCAAGACTTTGATTGCTTCCAATTTTTGCAAATACTTCTGTAGAAATTGGTTTTAACTGTTGTTTTCCTAGAAATTAATGTCCCTTAGGTATTAAAACTGTGAATTGCCTTGAAACTAACTTTTGGGTTTGCTTCTCTATATTAGTTTCAGTTTGAGATTTTTTTTGTATAATTCTTTTTGACTAAAAGTTATTAGGGTCTGCATGCAACTTTAAAAACATTAAGAGAGTTGGCTTTAGAAGAAACTTATTAGAGAATAAGCTCTTCAAAATGCAAACTGTTCTGTGAGAAACAGAGCTGATGAAGCCTACTTTCTGCCAGATTTGTGCACTTCATCTTTCTCCTCCTTCCCTCTGCAGTGCCTCCCCTGTCTTCTACCTCTTTTGCTGGCCATGCAGCAGCACATGCCATGGCTGGGGTTGGAGCTGTGTACTGATTGGCTGCTACCTTTTGGAGTGGTTAAGATGTGAGTCTTAATATGTACCTTTTCTACATAGCAGATAATGATTTGGGTGTCTTCCACCAGCAGCTGGTTGTTTTGGAGTGGGATTGTGTTGGGACTTGAAGAAATTTGGTCTTGAGTCTGTTTTCAAATATGATTGAAGCTATCCAGATTTGAAAAGCAACCAGCTGAGGAAGTAATCAACAAGAATCGCTGCTAGAAGTAGTTTAGTGAATTCTTGATAAACTATTCTTGAATAGAGGAATTGTAAAAGAGCTTCCGTTGCACAATACTTTGTCTTTCCACTTTTTTTCTCCACTAGTTCGTCTATGTGTTTTCACTTGTAACTTAGTTTTATCCTCTTTCTTTACTCTGTGAGGACTCCAGTCTGATATAGGAGTGCACATGCTCCAATGTAGAGACCATAGTGCTGTATCCCTGAACTGCAACCACAGCCTGAAGGCTGGAACATGAGCACTGTACTGGGAAAAGCCATAAGGACAGAAACTTCTAAAAGCTGCTTTTGCCTGGAGGTTGGAGTAGATGACCTCCTGAAGTCACTCCCAACCTCAGGTATCCTGTGACCCTACGATCCTATTCCTAGTCAGAGCAGCATGTTTACAATGGGACAAAGGGTAAGCAGGTAGATCCAAATTTCAGGAAACTCCCTGCCTTCATCCATCTCCATATTGCTTGTTCGGATTGACCAGTGCACCTTCCTCTTACTGACTTGTGGGGCAGGACTTTTTATTTTCTTTATTTTAAGGCCTTTGCAAAGAAATGTTCAAGGTTGATCTTTTTTAAAGTAACTCAGTAGCTTTTTGTTTGAGATGCAAGGTGCTGAATTCATGAAGCTATTATTTGTTTTGTAGGTATCTGAATAGTCTGTCAGTCTAACTGAAGTAAGTGGCAGGCAAGTATAATTAGAGGCTTAATACACAGATATCACACAAAGAGACAGGCATGGTAGGACATGGGCTAGAATAAGAATTCTTGCTCCAACCTTTTCAGTGTTACAGCTACTGACACTATAGTTTTCTGAGTTTGTGGCATTGAAATAGGAAGTCTTGATACATTTTAGAGTAAATGTTGAGGAGTTTGGTATATCTGGTTTGAAGAGATTCTTGCCATCTTTTCTTTAAGATGTTTTATTTTCATCTTTGACAATTTGAGCCATATGGAAACCTAACTTTAAAAGGAAAAAAAAAAGGAAAAAAAGGCTACTACCAAACCATAAATCTTCACCCTCCCAATATCTTCTGTTAGTCTGTTTCAACTTTTTAAGTCCTATCAAGCAGCAATATATAGTTATATTCCTGAAATTATTCATGTAATTTATTTCTGTATAATATTATCCTCAATTATTGGATGGGAGCTGAGCAATATAGATAAAATCAGTGATGTATTATTATAGGAACACTGATATTCTAGGCTGTATATAGATTGGCAAAAGGTACATTCTTGTCAGAAATTAATAAAAGTCAACCTACTTTTTAGTATGTTTAGATCCAAAGAAAAATTTATCTTTCTCATTCTGAAAATGTAGAATGTGGAGGATAGAGGCATGATGTGATTATTATTCAGTTAGCAGTAGACCTTCATGTCTGAAAAAGATTGGTTTCATTTCTGAAGCCTTGCAGTTGGACAAAAGTTTTGTCTAGTCCCTTAGATAGAAGCTGTGACAAGGGACTAATTCAAATTAACTGTAATTTCAAGGCCCTAAAAAGTTGGTAATAGGATTTCTTGGGGTTCTGGGAAGAGTAATCTCCATATAGATGGCTTTTCCATTTGAGTTGTTTTGCTCTCAAGACAGCTCTGTGGTGTCCTAACAGAAGCCAATCAACACCCTTTCTATGTTGTTTATAGCACTTTCAATTAAATACAGTATTAAAAAAAAGTTCCTTGCTCCTAAGTTAGCTACTTTTGGGTGTCCATGTCCCATTCCCTGTATACACTTATTTCCAACAGTGTTTTTAATTTTTTCCACTTTCCACTGAGCACATTAACTGAAAGATAACCTTTTACATAGTTATAGACGTGAGCAGAAGTTTGATTAAAATATAAATGCCCATAGAATATGAGGATATGCTTTTAAAATTCAATATGAATCTCAATTCTTCTTTTATGTTCAGTGATCTGTTATCTATTAAGGACAAATTTTATGGAGACAAACTGTCTGATTGGCACTGATTTAACTTCTTACTGTATGGATTGTTTAAAGGGTTGTATGAGCTAGATCCTAAATGAAGATGTCAGCTGGAGCTGTAATTTTTATACTGCCATTTTTATGTGAGAAATTTTTTTTTTATCTTTTTCATGGTGTGTGTGGAAAATGAAGCTTAAAAATGTCAAATGGACATCTTATTCGTGTAGCTGCCAGCATGTTGGCAGACTTTGTCCCCTGTTAAAGAAGTCAGTAACTAGCGTATTTGGAAACACCTCTAGAACTGTATTGGCTGCCTATGCTTTATCCCACAACATAAAGAATATTCCATCTTAACTAATTTAGTTGAATACAAATATAGTTTACTGGGGTAGAGGAAATGTAGCCAAGACACTGACAACAACAAACTGGGAGTGCTATTGTAGTGATATATCTGATCCCCAGTTATGGTGCAAGACGTGTGATTGAGTATGCGCAACGGAAGCATCCTTTTGAAGATACTGAATTGAAAAATTACAGTAGGCAGAAAAGTACAGAAGAGTTTTCTGGAAACAAACCTGAGAGAGAAAATTGAAGAGCTCTTGATCACATGTGCTGTAAAAGTGGTTCCTATTCTGTAATTCAGTAAACTATCTTTGGGGTATTATAATCATGCCTTTTGTTTATCAGGTAACATGGTCTTTTCTTTTTCAGATCAAATTCAGTTACCCAGGAATATGATTGAAAATAGTATGTTTGAAGAAGAGCCTGATGTGGTTGACTTAGCAAAAGAGCCTTGTTTACATCCCCTGGAGCCTGATGAAATGGAATATGAACCAAGAAGCTCCCGGCTCTTGGTGCGTGGCCTTGGAGAGCATGAAATGGATGATGATGAAGAGGATTATGAGTCATCAGCAAAATTGCTGGGGATGTCCTTCATGAACAGAAGCTCAGGTCTCCGGAGTAACATGTCTGTCTATAGACAAAATCCAAACGGATCATGTTCGGTGCCCTCTGCGAGGACCATGGTGGTTTGCACAGTTGTTCTTGTGATTGCAGTTTCATTAATAATGGCGATTTTTCTTCTTCCCAAATGTACCTTTACCAAAGAAGGCTGCCATAAAAAAAATCATACAATGGAACTAATATACCCTTTGGCAACCAATGGAAAACTATTTCCATGGGCAAGAATTAGACTTCCTACTGATGTGGTACCACTGCATTATGAGCTTGTCTTGCAGCCAAACCTAACTACTCTGAAATTTGCAGGCTCTGTAAAGATAGTGGTTAACATCATCCAGGTAACTTGGAAGATCATACTTCACAGCTCAGGACTCAATATCACCAAGGCAACCATTACTAAGCAAAGCCAGTTGAATTCCTGGAATATCCATTGCATGACCAGATTGCACTTATGGCTCCTGAAGCTCTCCTTGTAGGACAGAATTATACTGTCAACATAGAATATTCATCTAATTTGTCAGATACCTATTATGGCTTTTACAAAATTTCTTATAAGGATGAGAATTCTAAGCAAAGGTATGCCTACAAATGCAGCTTCTCTCTTCTGTCACTTCTAGATTGTGCTTTGATAACAGAAATAATAAGGGTTGCTTTTTCTATTGGATGTTTCGTACAACTTATTCCTATTGAGCAAAATCAATCTTTAATCTCCTGATTAATCTACCTGAAAATTGTCTTTCATGGATGAGTTCATTAAGTCAGGGCAGCCAGTTAAATGTACTGCAGTACAGTGGTTGTAGATAGCTATAGTGTGGCTTTTTGTTTGTTTAATTCTTAGTTTCTGTCTTTGGAAATCCTTCTCACATCTCTCGAGTCCCTGAGTCTCAAGGCAGGGACTGGGGGAACAAAGTCCCACCATCATAGGAGAAGATCTGGTTCAAGACCATCTGAGGAACCTGAACATACACAAGCCCATGGGACCCAATGAGATTCATCCCACAGTCCTAAGGGAACTGGCAGATGTAGTTGCCAAGCCACTCTCAATCGTATTTGAAAAGCCCTGGCAGTCAGGCGAGGTCCCCAGTGACTGGAGGAAAGGGAAATATCACACTCATTTTTAAGAAGGGTAAATCAGTGCTTCTTACAAAGAAGATTAATGAAATTGCCACCCACCACCACCTACTTCAAATGGCCTTACACTGGTCACGTACTTAAGAGTGTTCATGCCTTTGCTGGCACATAATTGTCCATGTAGGTTTTCTAGAAACAGAGCGGTGCAATAAAAGAAGGACAGAAAGAGCAGTATGGGTCAACCCAGGACCAGCTGACAGGAAAGTAGTTTTGAAGGGCCACAAACCAACTGCTAAAGACATAAAACCACTTACCAGCTTGTGTAAGAAACGCTAAGATCTAAAGCTTAAAAAAAAAAAAGTTAAATGGAATGTTAAAGGAAAAAGCAAGACAAAACAATGTTATCAGTGTTACAAATCTTGGCAACAGTAGAGAGTTTGTGTGGAAATTCCCAAAATATTAATAAGTAGATTCTGTTTCCTGAAAGGGGAAGGCAGAACTTAAAATTAACATCACAAACCCAGCCTTTTACAAATTGACAAGACAGGCTGGAAATTATTCTCTGGGAAGAGGATCACACTGAGATTGTATGTATTTTCAGTTACTTAAAACAGACCCTTCATTGAGGTGTTGCAAACTTTTTCAGTGAGACTGCTTAAAGAATAAAACAGAAGTGTGGCAAACTTGGTCATAATTTTTCTCTCTCCAGTGAAATATGATAACTATATGCTGCTAATGGTTGAATTAAGTCCCTCAAAGATAGCTTATCCTTAAAAAAATAAGGAAATCAAGATACTCAGTGTAAAGATGATTTTATAGACTATTAAAAGCTGCGTAACATAAGAAAGATGTATTTCTCTTCTATTCTCTAAACAAAAACCCAGGATATTTTGCTTCAGATTTGGCAGAAATCTGTAAGCATTAACAACAGACATTAGAAAAATAAACAAGTTTTGGTTTAAAAGTCTACTCACAGTTTGCCTTTAAAACTCTGTTCATCTAGATCATAGTGTGTCTATGACATAATGCTGAATTGTACAATAAAGTAAGTTAGCTGCAGAAGTTGTTTTCAAATATATGCAAAACCTGGTGCATTCAGATGAGCTGTGGAACATTAAGTGGGCTCTTGAACTGGTCAGCAACTGAGATGAGGCAGGAACTCTCTACTCTTTACTCCAATGTGTTCCTGTTGGTCCTCACATGAGGTAGCCTAAGGAGCTTTCTTTCAGAGATCAAGAATTTTAAGAAATAAATCCGGGTTAAAGGATTGCTCATCTGTTTCAGTTTCCCTGCATCTCCAATGAAGGTGGATGTTTGTTACTGAGGTGCAAATGTTCAGATCCCCCAGGTAAAGTGCTGTTGATAAGCCTCTTACGAAAGGGCTGTTCCTGAGCATATACTAAAATGTCATAGTGTATGCACGATCATTAGAGAGAACCTGTTGCCACTTGGAAAATTGCTGGTAGGCTTCAGAATTCCATCATTATAACAAAAATGCCACAAGTTGTTGCTCTGTTGCAGAATGTGTTCAATAATAATCACAAAGGGTGTAGATTGCATTGGAAGAGCATAACCACAAGATGAAATGAAATAGAGCTAAGTAGCTTATCACAAACATTAAAGACATGCATTACCATGAAGTAAGCGGGAGTAAGAATACAGTAAGTGTAGAAGGCAAAAATCATTTGAATGATTAGCCTCTTTTTGAATTTCCATGTTTTTTCCTATTCTGATGTAGCTAAAGCTTTTTCTCCTTGTATTTACTGTAGTAGAAAGACAAAGTGTAAGTGTTCACAGAGGAAAATGATGATCTTTCAGTAAGTTCTTCAGTTTTTATCCCCCTTCAGTCCAGTGCTACCTGCTTTTTTTCATGAACAGGATGTAGCACATGCTTTAACTTGTATACTTTTAAGTTAATCCTGTTCAGATAACTGTTTGCTGATATCATCATTTCCATTGCCTTGTGTCGTGGTTTAGCCCCAGCCAGCAACTAAGCA